AGAAAATAAAAAAATGGTGTCTGCAAAAGTTTGGGCACCCTGCAGAATTTATAGCATGCACTGCCCCCTTTGCCAAGCTGAGACCTGCCAGTGTCATGGATTGTTCTCAATCATCGTCTGGGAAGACCAGGTGATGTCAATCTCGAAGGTTTTAAATGCCCATACTCATCTGACCTTGCCCCAACAATCAGTACCATGGGTTCTTCTAAGCAGTTGTCTAGAAAACTGAAACTGAAAATAGTTGATGCTCACAAAGCTGGAGAAGGCTATAAGAAGATCGCAAAGCGTTTTCAGATGTCAATATCCTCTGTTCGGAATGTAATTAAGAAATGGCAGTCATCAGGAACAGTGGAAGTTAAAGCAAGATCTGGAAGACCAAGAAAAATATCAGACAGAACAGCTCGCAGGATTGTGAGAAAAACAATTCAAAACCCATGTTTTACTGCACGATCCCTCCAGAAAGATCTGGCAGACACTGGAGTTGTGGTACACTATTCCACTATAAAGAGATACTTGTACAAATATGGTCTTCATGGATGAGTCATTAGAAGAAAACCTCTTCTACGTCCTCACCACAAAAATCATTGTTTGAACTTTGCAAATTAACATATAGACAAGCCTGATGCATTTTGGAAATAAGTTCTGTGGACCGATGAGGTTAAAATTGAACTTTTTGGCCGGAATGAGCAAAGGTACGTTTGGAGAAGAAGGGGCACAGAATTGAATGAAAAGAACGTCTGTCCAACTGTTAAGCCTGGGGTTGGATCAATCATGCTTTGGGGTTGTGTTGCAGCCAGTGGCACAGGGAACATCTCACGAGTAGAAAGAAAAATGGATTCAATAAAATTTCAGCAAATTTTGGATGGTAACTTGATGCCATCTGTGAAAAAACTGAAGTTAAAGAGAGGATGGCTTCTACAAATGGATAATGATCCTAAACACACCTCGAAATCCACGGGGGATTACATCAAGAGGCGTAAACTGAAGGTTTGGCCATGGCCTTCACAATCTCCTGACCTCAACATAATTGAAAATCTATGGATAGACCTTAAAAGAGCAGTGCGTGACAGACAGCCCAGAAATCTCAAAGAACTGGAAGACTTTTGTAAGGAAGAATGGGCAAAGATACCTCAAACAAGAATTGAAAGACTCTTGGCTGGCTACAAAAAGCGTTTACAAGCTGTGATACTTGCCAAAGGGGGCAGTACAAGATATTAACTCTGCAGGGTGCCCAAACTTTTGCAGACGCCATTTTTTTGTTTTCTGTTATTTTGAAAGTGTAAATGATGGAAATAAAATCTAACTTTTGTTGACATATTATAAGAATGTCTAATCTGTAATTTGATGCCTTTTGGAGATTTTTCCATCTTTCCTTGGCTTCTTTATGCACATTAATACAAATTTTTATCTGGGGTGCCCAAACTTTCGATCCCCACTGTAAATATCAGTGGCAGCTATATATTTTGCCCCCTGAGGCTCCAGCCACCATCCCTTCTGTTGAATGTTGCCCACTGGAGAGGTAAGCAGGGGCATGGTTGAAAGTGCTGCCTGCAACTGTGGTCACTGAGCCTGCCATTAGCCTGTTCTACAAAGGTAAGCAAAGTGTAGTGTGTGTGTGTGTGTGTAGAGGTAGGCAGAAAAGGAATTACAGTTTGGGGTGCTCAGGTGAGCAGAGGAAGCATGTGGAGTTAAGGTGGGGGGAGGTTAGAGTGAAGAGGATGGGGGAGGATGGGGTGCAGAAGGTAGCAGGGAAATTTAGGATGCAAAGGTGTACTGACGTGGATAAAAATGTACATCACGTGTACAATAGGCTGCTTTATGCGCTAGAAATGCAGAAATAAAGTCCCAGACCCTTTTTCAGAATCACACCAAGCCATAGAACCGTGAATTTTGGTGCATGTGGAAAGGCACACGTTAGCAGATGTGTGAGAGTGTTATTGACAATTAATAGGACTGCTGTGTATCTGTTAAAATGTCAAGGACAACCAAACCTAGTATATGCATGCATATTTAAAGTGTCTGTAAAGGAAGTTTTTATTTTTTTAAATAAGCAGCATGTCTATACTTACCAGCTCTGTGCAATAGAATAGCACAGAGTGGCCCTGAACCTCTTCTTGTCCCTAGCTGATGTGCCTGGCTCCTCCTCTCTGGCTCCAATAGAAAGCTGCTGCTGCTTCCCATGGGGGCACTCGTGCAAGCTCCTTCCCAAGACATGCTGTTGCATCCATTGCCACAGACAATGGGACCTCAAAAAAGTTTAGGCTTTAGAACTTCTAAGAGTGCCTTGCAGTGCAAATAGGCAGAGTAATGCATCGACCTATGGACCGCATGCCATTTAAGGGCCCCGTGACAATGGATAAAAAGTGTTAATTTGATCTTTAAAGAAAATAACACTGATCCTTTCTTAAATTGGTTACAAAGCATAGAAGTAAATCAACTCAAAGAAACAAAAACTTTACATTAAAGACTCTACAGTATATAGAAAAAACTGGTTATTTCCGAAACATTGCAGAAGTCACCCATCACCCAAGCAACAGTTTATTCACACTGGCTCCAATAAGCAGTTCAGGGGTTGGTTTTTTAGGTGTATTGCTTGAAGAAACTTGTAACAATAAGGTAATTGGGGGCATGGAATACTGCAAAAACAGCTGACACATAGTTAGGCCCAGACTGGGCATTTCAGAGTAAGCAGCCATTTTTTTCCAGGGACTGGAGGGGGAAGGGGACGTTTGCGGGGGAGGTTGGTGATGGGATACTCACAGAGTCGGCCCTTCACACAGTAATGTAAAGGGGCACTGTGATATAAAGGGGACTGCACTGTGAAGGGGTACTGTAATTATTACAGTACCCTTTTACAGTGCAGTCCCCTTTATATCACAATGCCCCTTTACATTATAGTGCCCCTAGCAATCACAACCCCCTATTACAGTGCCCTTTGCAGTCATGCCCCCCCCCTTTTTCTCTCTAACTAGAGTGCCCCATTTTCCTCTCTGCCTCCCCTGCACAGTCCTACCTTCACCAGGGCAGAGGCAGGATTCAGCCCAGGTGTCTTCTTAAGGGTCTCCTGTCCTATGAACGATGCTATCCTATTAACAGGGTCAGGGGTGGGAGGAGCTGCAGAAAATACTCTTGATCTCTGTGCAGATCTCTAGTTTCTCCCTCCCCTGCACTGCTGATAGGATGCCATAGTTGTTTGGGTGGAAGAGCTGGAGGTCAGCGACAACAACGGTCTGTGTTAACCCTGTCTAGACCGCAGTCACCGCTTACCTCCCTCTGTGTGGCCCGGTCATCAACGGGCCATGGACTGGTACCAGTCTGTGGCTTGGTGGTTTGGGACCCCTATATTAACCAGTCCGGGCCTGGTCACTTCTCCCACTGTACTGGTGCGACCACTACAGCTGTCTTCTGCATTGCAACAACTCTTTCTGCACTCACCTGTTGAGGTGCTGCCTTCTCCACCACCTCCTCTATGCCAATGCAGTGGAGAGATGTCCACCAGGCTCCCGCTGAAATCTCCACTCACTCTCCTGCATCTTTGATCTCCCCCTCTCCTCCAGCAGTAACCCCCATTCTCCTCCAGCACTCACAGCCAAGATGTCCTCTGAACACCTGCGGTGATCCCTGCTGCAAACAATCACCACTATCATCTTGCTCCTGTTCAATTCAGCCACACTGTTATACCTCTCCAGCCCCGCCTCTCACCGCTCTAGCATCCTCACCAATTGGCACTCGCAGCATGAGATCACAGCACATCACCCTGTATTAAAGATATCCCTGGTCTTGGCCCTGGGACCTGCGGCCCAGTGTGCCCTATGGCCAGTCTGGGCCTGCACATAGTAATTGGAAGACTGTCAGAGGTATGTGACTGACGCAGGGAACGCAGGCTTCAGATATGTTATAAACAATATAATTTATTAACACTAACAATACAAACATAAACGCAGTGCAATACTAAAACATAACACAGTGCAAACGAACCAAACCACCCACAGATAACAGTACATACAATGCAAGCGTCGTCAGGCGGGCCGGGTCAATAACAATCGGGCAGGTAGGTACAGGGGGAGCAAGCGGAGAATGGTCGGGGTCACAAGCCAGGTTCAGCAGGTAGCGGGCAGCGTGGTACAGAGGGTCAGGCAGAGGGATGGTCAGGAACGAGCCGGGGTCAGAGCAGGAGAGGGTCAGCGTAATCAGAACAGGCAGAGTTTGGCAACAAGGAAACGTACTAGCAGGAACACAGAAACAGGAATAAGAATGCAGGATTACAAGATACAGGGCCCAGGAAAAACACACACACCAAGGCCAAGACTGCAGGTCTGGCCATCACTTAAATACACCTGCATAAGCAGTTTCAGGTGTTTGGCTGACTGCAGGGTTGAGTCTCTGACTGCTGGGAACACCCGCTGGCCAGCTCTGGTACTGCAGCCCACAAGGCAGGTGAGTCCCACCACTACTGGCAAGTCCATTCCTAACAGTACCCCCCCCCTCAAGGAGCGGCCTCAGGACGCTCCAAACAGTCCTAGCTGGGCAAAATGTTCCACCACCCGGGTCTGGTAACTGGCGGGATATCAAAGACTGGCACATCGGGCAGGACTCCGGGCAGCGGCACACCGGGCAGGACTCCGGGCAACGGCACACCGGGCAGCGGCACATCGGGCAGGACTCCGGGCAGAGGCACATCGGGCTGAACTCCGGGCAGAGGCACATCGGGCTGAACTCCGGGCAGAGGCACATCGGGCTGGACTCCGGGCAGAGGCACATCGGGCTGGACTCCGGGCAGAGGCACATCGGGCTGGACTCCGGGCAGAGGCACATCGGGCTGGACTCCGGGCAGAGGCACATCGGGCTGGACTCCGGGCAGAGGCACATCGGGCTGGACTCCGGGCAGAGGCACATCGGGCTGGACTCCGGGCAGAGGCACATCGGGCTGGACTCTGGGCAGAGGCACATCGGATCACCAGGCGAAGCAGCAGGCACCGGGCCACCATGCGGAGCAGCAGGCACCGAGCCACCAGGCGGAGCAGCAGGCACCGGGCCCCCAGGCGGGGCGACAGGCATCGGGCCCCCAGGCGGGGCGACAGGCACCGGCCCCCAGGCGGAGCGGCAGGCACCGAGCCCCCAGGCGGGGAGACAGGCATCGGGCCCCCAGGCGGGGCGACAGGCATCGGGCCCCCAGGTGGGGCGACAGGCATCGGGCCCCTAGGCGGGGCGACAGGCATCGGGCCCCCAGGCGGAGCGGCGGGCGCCAGACCCCCAGGCGGAGCGACAGGTCTCGGGCCCCCAGGCGGAGCGGCGGGCGCCGGACCCCCATGCGGAGCGACAGGTCTCGGGCCCCCAGGCGCAGCGGCGGGCGCCGGACCCCCAGGCGGAGCGACAGGTCTCGGGCCCCCAGGCGGAGCGGCGGGCGCCGGACCCCCAGGCGGAGCGACAGGTCTCGGGCCCCCAGGCGGAGCAGCGGGCGCCGGACCCCCAGGCGGAGCGACAGGTCTCAAGCCCCCAGGCGGAGCGGCGGGCGCCGGACCCCCAGGCGGAGCGACAGGCACCGAGTCACCAGGCACGACAGTGGGCTCCGAGTCAACTGGCATGACCACGGGCACTGGGTCAGACATTGGATCGTCTGGCTGGACAGCGGGCATCGGGTCACCAGGCATCAGGTCATTTGGCTGGACAGCGGGCACCGCGTCATCTGGCAAGGCAGTGGGCACCGAATCACCAGGCACGACAGTGGGCTCCGAGTCAACTGGCACGACCACGGGCACTGGGTCAGACATTGGATCGTCTGGCTGGACAGCGGGCATCGGGTCACCAGGCATCAGGTCATTTGGCTCGACAGCAAGCACCGCGTCATCTGGCAAGGCAGTGGGCACCGAGTCACCAGGCACGACAGTGGGCTCTGAGTCAATTGGCACGACAGCGGGCACCGGGTCATCAGGTACCGGATCGTCTGGCTCGACAGCAGGCACCGGGTCATCTGACGCTGGATCGTCTGGCTCGACAGCGGGCATCGGATCACCAGGCATGACCGCGGGCATTGGGTCATCAGGCATTGGATTGTTCTGGCTCGACAGCGGGCATCGGGTCACCAGGTATGACAGCGGGCACTGGGTCACCAGGCATCAGGTCATTTGGCTCGCCAGCGAGCACCGCGTCACCTGGCAAGGCAGTGGGCACCGAGTCACCAGGCACGACAGCGGGCTCTGAGTCAATTGGCACGACAACGGGCACCGGGTCATCAGGTACCGGATTGTTTGGCTCGACAGCAGGCACCGGGTCATCTGGCGCTGGATCGTCTGGCTTGACAGCGGGCATCAGGTCACCAGGCATGACAGCGGGCACTGGGTCATCAGGCATTGGATCGTCTGGCTCGACAGCGGGCATCGGGTCACCAGGTATGACAGCGGGCACCGGGTCAGCAGGTACCGGATCGTCTGGATCAACAGCGGGCATCGAGTCAACTGGCCTAATAGGATCATCAGGCTGGATCAGTTCATCAGGCTGGGTAGAAACATCATGCTGGGTAGAGGCAGCAGGCTGAATGGAGGCAGCAGGCTGAATAGAGGCATCAGGCTGAATAGAGGCATCAGGCCGGGTGGAGGCATCAGGCTGAATGGAGGCATCAGGCTGAATGGAGGCATCAGGCTGAATGGAGGCATCAGGCTGGGTAGAGGCATCAGGCTGGGTAGAGGCATCAGTCTGGGTACAGACATCAGGCTGGGTACAGACATCAGGCTGGGCACAGACATCAGGTTGAAGTGCAGGTGCCGAGGTACCAGGCTGAACCACGGAAGGCCGGTTCTCAGACGGCAGGCTCACCGGTTTGGATACTGGCAGGATGGTACTGGTTAAAAAGAATTTTCGCTTTTTTCTGGTTTTAACTACTGGAGCACTGCAAGTAAACGCAGGTCTGCAAACGAATGGAGCAGCTGGAGACAGAGAAGAGCTGGAGGATAGAACAGAGGACTTCTTTACAGGGTTAAAGGCAGGATAGGTGCAGCGAGTGGGAACAGGGTACTGACATGCGGTAGATAGCAGGGCAGGAGGAGCTGTTGGGAATGCAGGAATAGAGCTTTGAGGAAATAGATTAGAAGCAGGACTGGGTTTTTGCAAGCTGACTGAGGCTGGGTGCAACAAATCTGTCCATGTCTGCAGTATGGGTTGAACAAAGCTGAGCTTACACAAAGCCTGTCTGACCAAAGACTGCACTGCGTTTATACAATCTCTTAGTATCTGTGGTGAACATGTGGAATAATGCTCCAGAAAGTAATCCACATCATCCTCTAATAACCATACCAGGGACTCTACCTGGTCGGCACTAAATGGTGGCAAAAATTCATCCCTGCATTCGGGGGTACCAGATGAAACCAACTCCGCACAAACCTGAATCAATGGCTGCACCTCAGAGAATTCTGTGCCCTGATCTACTAGAACATGAGCGAGCCGTATACATTCTAGCAGTTCATCCCTGGGATACTCCTTCAGAGTCTGATAAGCATATTCTCTGTCATCAAACACTAGCAGATATAAATACACAACCTCATCAAGATCCATCCTTCTCTCATCAACAAACCAAGATGGCTTCCCTGTGCAGCCATTTCTGGTCAGGATTGGCCTTGGTGTAATGTCAGGGCTCCCGGGTATGACCAGAGGTATGTGACTGACGCAGGGAACGCAGGCTTCAGATATGTTATAAACAATATAATTTATTAACACTAACAATACAAACATAAACGCAGTGCAATACTAAAACATAACACAGTGCAAACGAACCAAACCAAACCACCCACAGATAACAGTACATACAATGCAAGCATCGTCAGGCGGGCCGGGTCAATAACAATCGGGCAGGTAGGTACAGGGGGAGCAAGCGGAGAATGGTCGGGGTCACAAGCCAGGTTCAGCAGGCAGCATGGTACAGAGGGTCAGGCAGAGGGATGGTCAGGAACGAGCCGGGGTCAGAGCAGGAGAGGGTCAGCGTAATCAGAACAGGCAGAGTTTGGCAACAAGGAAACGTACTAGCAGGAACACAGGAACAGGAACAAGAGTGCAGGATTACAAGATACAGGGCCCAGGAAAAACACACACACCAAGGCCAAGACTGCAGGTCTGGCCATCACTTAAATACACCTGCATAAGCAGTTTCAGGTGTTTGGCTGACTGCAGGGTTGAGTCTCTGATTGCTGGGAGCACCCGCTGGCCAGCCCTGGTACTGCAGCCCACAAGGCAGGTGAGTCCCACCACTACTGGCAAGTCCATTCCTAACAAAGACAATCTTCTCCTTTAATGTGCACCAGTGCTGAATGATCTAAAACCCCAACAGCTGAAGACCATGAGGTGAGTCTAGCAAAGTTCTTTGGTATGCAAATTGATCTTCTTTGGCATTATTAATTTTGGACAGTTTAAAACCTCACAGCTGAATGCCATGAGGTAGTTCCTAAGCAGGCTAAGCTCTCACACCTGGGGACCATGAAGAAAATCTCTGACATATATCCTTCTCCTTAGTACTTTTTTGAATGGTGAACAGTCTAAGGCCTCTCAGCTAAAGGTCACAAGGCAAGTCCTTTGAGTATCTGTGTACCTTGCTCAAAGCATTGTAATTAGTAGCCATTGCCACTTCCCAACACTCTCTTGCAAGGATCAACTTAGGGTCACTACTCTTAAGTCACCAGAACAGCTGCCAGCTTCCAGCTTCCTCTGGACACAACCCACCAATTAAGATGGAGCCTCTTAGGACCAAGGATGCCTTGTGGTGTGGTTCTGTCATCAGTTTCTGAGTGAAATCCATTTACTCTTCTAACTTCTGAGGCCTTCTAGAACAGCTGCATGGTCCATGGACTGCTTGAGAACAGCAGCCCTGCACCTCTGGAACCCTCCTGGGGAAAAGGAACCCTGCACTTCAGTGTCTCAGACTATTTATCCCCTTTCCATCCCCCTACTGAACAGTCCTCTCCAGGGATTGGCTTGAACCTAATCTATATCTATATATTCAGGCTGATTGATTGAACCGCCCTAAGCTCTGGAAATTTCTTTCAGAGGCAGGGGGAAGCAATCAATCTCTCAGCTTGTGAGACCCTGATCAGGTCAGAACAAACAATCGCTGCTCCCCTGATTACTGGTGGAGCCAAAAACCAAATTTGCATAGCATTCTACTCTAGGTGGGTGCTACATTAATGCTAGCAATAACAACCTATAGTATATACACCATATACATCAGGTGCACATCACACTTTGCCTCTTAAAAGCTCATCTTCTTTCATCTTTCAGTTTGTAAAAATGTTTGGTGCAACATACATATATGTAATGTACAGCAGTGATGGTCATCTCAATCTAGCGGTCGATGTGCACACTACTCATTTCAATGGTATCCATTAGCGTGCGCACACGAAAAACCTCCAGAAACCTGCAAGGGGGTCCCAAGGTTTTGACTACCTAGGGGCCTCCACAAAGTCTAATTTGGCACTGGTGCCTTTCTTGTGATAAGTTTGGATTTTCAGAGCTGTAGTTGAATATATACTCCATTTTCCTGTTCTGCTTAACAAAATGGCATTTAAGTTCTGTACAGGAGTAGAAATCTAGACCAGAAGGCCTCAGACTTTTCTGAACCAGAACCCAGTTGTAAAATCTATTACTGGATCTGCCTTTTATTCACATGGGTTGCTACAGCCCTGGTAAAGTGATTGACATGACAAAGTGTCTGAAAAGTTTCAATTTAGCAAGGGATTAATCACTTTGAAATCTGTATGCAAAGATAGATGGAGTGATCTAACGAATACACCTGCCGATCTAAATAATGCCAAAATCCAACATAATTATTTGCCCCATATAGGCAATACTTGCATAATGTGAATGCTGACTCCACAGTAAATTGCAGCATTAATAGGGAGAGTTCAGTCTTCAGTGTGATGGGAACTGGAATGATTTGTAAACTCTCTCAGCACTTCAGTTGAATTTTAAATGACTTCTAAAGCAAATTTGCTTAATCTTCTATAAAAAAACATGTAGAGTATGCAGTTCCCTCATGATGTTACTCGTACTAAGAGTTCAGCAGTGCATCGATTCAAACAGAACCTAACAGCTAGGAACTTTTTGAACTAACTATTTTACTTTATAGGATGCATTATATATTGCTGTGTCATTAATTTCTCATTTTGTTTGCTTTGCTTTCATAACAGCAACTGTATAAGATCTAGGTTCGGTCCAAGGACAAAATGACTTTGTGTAAAAATTGGTTCTTTGGAGTGCCTAGCCACACACAAGACAATCTGTACAATTTCCTATGTAGTCTGAGGGCTACCTATACAATCTATTTTATTTATATACAGATAGACAGGTTCTCATTCTACATAGTTGATGGTAGATCAGCATTAAGCTTTTCAGGGGACAAATATTTTGTCTTCCAGAATGTTACACACTTGTTTGGCCATTGTCCGACTTCAACACAGCAGTTCATGCAACAAGTCAGTCAAGATAAGTTCAAATTTGAAACAAACACATTCAGAAATCAATTGCTTTTGGGTACTCTCAAATGCTTCATGCAAACATACTGCCACCATGTAGATTAAAGTAGAACTCTCATTGAAACAGCACTGATATTATTTATACATCCGAACTTACAGTTTTCTTCCCCAGCAAAGTCCCACCAATGCTGGTTGGTTTTGCTAATTAAGTCCTCCTAATGCAGTTACCTCTGTGCTGTGACAATGATGATGCACTCCTGATTTCAGAGCAGTGTTGCCATTCTCATATAGGCTACACGTGTGTGAGATGGGGAAACAGCTCTCATTGTTTGAACACTGTTTGTGTGCAGCAAATTATTGTGTGGAGTAAATTAAATGTTCAGGACTGACATTCTGCGGTTTGGCCACAAGATGCCACTGTTTTCCTAACACAGCTTCAGACTGCATAGATATTTCTATATTCATGAAGAGGTGGGGTTTTCACAGAGTTTAGAGAACAGGAAGAAGAAGAAAGAGAGCAGCCATGTTTTGTGGATGGTGAATGCAGGAGCCGTGTGAGCAGAGAATCTGATGGCATCCCGGTGTGAAAAAATGTTGCCTGGGGGGTGGCCATCAGCATTGTCACTGCTGATTCACAGGTCTGTAACTTGGAAGTCATCATCTGGTCACACCTAGTTGTTCTCACTGCTTTCTGGATTGACAGCACTGCCTCTGTTGCTTAAGACTACTTTCATACTGCTCTGCATGAAAAATTTATTACAAAATCATATGCGTTTTTGCCAGGTTTTTGCTGCATTTTTCCCCGCATTGCATTAAATTCAAAGCAAAGCATTATGCATTTTGAAGCGTTTTGTTGCGTTTGCATTTTCCCCATATCATTTCCCACAATTCTAATGTGATTTTAGAAGTTATCAAGCTGGGCTTCACAGAATTGGATGACATGGGAAATCACATTATATTCTGACTTCAGTGCGATTTCAGCCCCATAGACTTTTGTGTTATCTCACAGAAGTCGCATCAGCATAGATAAGAAACATTCCTATGCAACTTTGATGGATCAGTGTTGTTTTTTTCTTTTTTTAACCCTCATCTCTCTTCTCTCATTCTCTGCCTAAAACCTGTTCATACTGAATCAGTTTTCATCTTTCCTTTTATCAATCAACCCTTTTATCAATCCTTTTATCGATAGATTGATCCTTTTATTGATCAGTCCTTTTTTTTGACTGATCAATCCTTTGAATGATCTATTGTACTTTTTATCTAGCAATCTATCCTGTTATCAATTGATCAATCCTTTTATTGATCAATTGTTTTATATATCAATCAATCCTTTTATCAATCCTTTTATTGAGCGATTTGATCCTTTTATTGATCAATACTTTTATTGACTGATCAATCCTTTGATCGATCTATTGATCTTTTTACCTAGCAATCGATCTTTTTATTGATGGACCCTGTTATCAATTGATCAGTCCTTTTATTAATCAATTGTTTTGTATATCAGTCGATTAATCCTTTTATCAATTGATTAACCTTTCCTGTCATAGATTGCTCCTTCCTTCAACTGATAAAAGTATCGATCAATCGATCAAAGGAAAGGTAGATCAATCGGAGGAATGGTCAATCGATCAAAGGAAATGTTGACTGATCAAAGGAAGAGTCAATCAATTGAAGGAAGGGTTGATTGATGGATCGAAGGACTGGTTGATCGATGGATCGAAGGAAGGGTCATTTGATGGACTGAAGGAGGGGTTGACCGATCAGTCTAAGGGTCGATCGATTGAAGGAAGGGTCGGTTGAATGAAGGTAGGATCGATTAATTGAAGAAAGGCTCCAAAATCGAAGCTGTATCAAAATGCATGGATGAAATATGACCAGGGAGGAGAGGTGAGGGTTAAAAAAAATATTTAATCAAAGTCATATAGAAATATAATGTATCTTATCTATGCTGATGCGACTTTTGTGTGATAACATAGAAGTCTATGGGGCTGAAATCGCACTGATGTCCACCAGAAACCTTTTCTAAAATTGCACTGTTCTGAGTTGATTAGAAGGGCACCAGTGAATGTAATGATTTCCCTTGTCATGTGATTCTGTAAACCAGGACTTCCCAAAGGTGCATTGCATTTTTGATGCGGTTTCTATTCATTTCGATGGAGGGATGCATTTTTGGTGCTTTTTTTTACCGGACCAAACATGCACCAAAAATGCAGCAAGCAAGATTTTTTTTAACCGCAACTAAAGGGCAACGAACCAGTGTGAAGAGCTACATAGGATTTAAAGGGATGCAGTTTTCTTCAACTTTTGTTAACTGAAGAAGGGACCAAAAGTGGATCAGTGTGAAAGCAGTCCTAAACCTCCCACTGTGAGCTGCAGTGTCTGGGAGTGGAAGCATGTGAGACTAAAAAGTAGGAAGATTAAAGCAGGTTTTGTTTACTTTACAAGACTTATGCATTAAATGTTAACTGTATTTGCAGAGATGCCAATCCTGGGACAGTCCCGCATCTTGGTCTTCTGCCCCGCCAATGCTCTGTCCCTGGTCATGTTCATGGGTCACAGCATCAATCTTAGCTGTTTCACTGCACATGCCCAGTAACTGAAAAATGCACTAATTGTGGGGATCGGAGCCACAAATGGGCAGTCCTTGCTCATTTAGAGACAGGGTCTGGGTGGGACCAACCAGGACTAAGAGGTTGTAATTTGGGTGCACCGGAAAGTAGTCAGATGAAATGCAGAACATGGGGGAGGCTAACAGTGTCCTGAGATCTTGGACCATAATGTTAGTTAGTATGAATTCAGGACATGTATATATACATACTATATTGCCAAAAGTATTGGGATGCCTACCTTTACACGCACATCAACTTTAATGGCATCCCAGTCTTAGTCTAATATTAACTTGACCCACCCCTTGCAGCTATAACAGCTTCAACTCTTCTGGGAAGGCTGTCCACAAGGTTTAGGAGTATGTCTATGGGAAAGTTTGACCATTCTTTCAGAAGCGCATTTGTGAGGTCAGGCACTGACGTCGGACGAGTAGGCCTGACTCACAGTCTCCGCTCTAATTCATCCCCAAGGTGTTTTATTGGGTTAAGGTCAGGACTCTGTGTAGGCCAGTCAAGTTCCTCCACCCCAAATTCGCTCATCCATGTCTTTATGGACCTTGCTTTGTGCACTGGTGCGCAGTCATGTTGGAACAGGAAGGGGCCATCCCCAAACTGTTCCCACAAAGTTGGGAGCATGAAATTGTCCAAAATGTCTTGGTACGCTGACACCTTAAGAGGTTCCGTCACTGGAACTAAGGGGCCAAGCCCAACCCCTGAAAAACAACCCCACACCATAATCCCCCCTTCATCAAACTTTACACTTTCACAATGCAGTCAGGCAAGTACCGTTCTCCTGGCAACTGCCAAGCCCAGGCACTTCCATCGGATTGAGGAAAGACAAAACAGAGGGCGCACAGGCCTAGTGCATTACCATAAAAAATGTTTAATAAAAAATAAAGTAGGTGTTGTACTCACAAATGACAATATAATCAAGGCACATCACAAAGAACAGCTGGGTCAACACCGCGCTGAGTAACAGTCCGCAATAGGGAGTGTAGTCATCCAAAATGCTGACGCGTTTCGAGGACTTGCCTCTTCCTCAGAGGAAGAGGCAAGTCCTCGAAACGCGTCAGACTTTTGGATGTCTACACTCCCTATTGCGGACTGTTACTCAGCGCGGTGTTGACCCAGCTGTTCTTTGTGATGTGCCTTGACTATATTGTCATTTGTGAGTACAACACCTACTTTATTTTTTATTAAACATTTTTTATGGTAATGCACTAGGCCTGTGTGCCCTCTGTTTTGTCTTTCCTCATTCAGTATATTTAGATTTCCCCGGTCCATTTGAGGGCAGCAAGATGTGCATGTTCCAGGACATTCTTATTGTGGTTGTAGCCTGCATCGAGTCCATCCCCAAGCGCAGGAGCATTTGTGTTTGCTGGTTCTTACTTCCATCGGATTGCCAGACAGAGAAGCATGATTCATAACTCCAGAGAACATGGCTCCACTGATATAGAGTCTAGTTGTGGCGTGCTGTACACCACTACATCCAACGCTTTGCATTGCACTTGATGATGTAAGGCTTGAATGCAGCTGAATGGAAACCAATTCCATGAAACTCTCTACTCACTGTTGTTGTGCTAATCTGAAGGCCACACAAAGTTTGGAGGTTGTTAACTATTGACTCTGTAGACAGTTGGCAACTTCTGTGCACTGTGCGCTGCAGCATGCGATGACCTCACTCTTTCATTTTACGTGGCCTACCACTTTGTGGCTGAATTGCTGTTGTTTCCAGTTGCTTCCACTTCATTATAATACCACTAACAGTTGCCCATGGAATATTTAGTAGCAAGGAAATTTCATGGATGGACTTATTACACAGGTGGCAACCTATCACGCTACCATGCTTGAATTCACTGAACTCCATTCTTTCACAAATGTTTGTAGAAGCAGTCTGCATGCCTATGTGCTTGATTTTATACACCTGTGGCCATGGAGGTGATTGGAACACTTGAATCCAATGATTTTCAGGGGTGTCCCAATACTTTTGGCAATGTAGTATATATATATATATATATATATCATCTTTTAGAAGTGAGGGAATCTATTCAGTAAGCAAACCAATGTGTTAATGAACTCAACATTTGGCAGAATTAAAGCTTACTGTACATCCAGTCATAAGCATTTTTTAATTTTTGATCCTCACTGATGCATTTCGTCCAAAAGGACATTATCAAGTGTTGACATCACACCGCTGCCGATCCCGAGTCGGCAGCAGCTATACATGTAAGCTAGTATATATTGTTTTGTTTGGAGGTTTTTTTACTTACATATCTTAATAAATACTATACTATTGGAGACTGATTCACTCGTAAGTCTTATTTTGTCCTAGCCCAATCCCATCGAGAGGTACTTGTGGATTCAGCTGCTGAGCAACAACATTTACACACTACGCCTTTTTATGACACATGGTCATTTATGCTGTTATAATGACAGCTATTGGTTCCAGTGAGTTTTGAATTCACAGGGAGGCGGTGGTGGACTTATGAATTCTTTACACAAAGAAGGATCACAGTTGTTATGGTGGTGGACTGAATATTTCAAGTTTTCTCACTTGGACGTTATGCTATATAGACTGTCTTGTCACTTTGTTTTTATATTTTTTACATTTCTTTGGATCACATTTCTGTTTGTTTGTATGTATAATTATTTCCGTGGTGCTGCACTTTTTGCTTTTCTAAGCAAAAACAACATGGTTTCTATTATGGTGAGGACTATTAGTGTGATAGAAGTTCTAACCCTTCCCTGCTCTATCCAAAAGGTAGGTTAGATTTGGTCTCTAAGGGATCATTCTAAATCCTATATTGAAAGTAAATTGATAAACTGCATGCTCTTGTTTAACACTGTAGAATGTATTTCTAATTTGTGTTTGAAAAATGAAGTTTTAGTTATTGTATATACCTTTTTTGTAAAGCAATAACACCTTTACATTTATCCCCCTTAGCCTTCCTATGCAGAGTTTGATATCAGTGGTAATGTTCTAGGACTGGTCTTCAATCAAGGAATGATCTGGTAACATTATCCTGAATTTCTAGTAACTGTGTGGTAACTTGTTTGTTATTTATATAGTGCTTTTACTACTTTGCAGATTACTTTCTTACCTGCTTCTAACCCACATTTGCTGGACACTGTTATACTGCAAAAATTATATGTACTGTGTGTATTATATGTATGTATATAATTATGTAGAAAGAGTTATGGGCACAAGGCTGGAAAAAACTGTGCAGGAGCCTGAGACTGAACCCACGATCTGCTGATCGCAGTTGCAATGCTTTTTAGGCTGTTGTAAAAATAAATAATATATGCATATATTTAACCTGCAAAATAATGTTAATTCATTAGTTTTTATCATGTAAATGTATCCTTTATTATATTGTAATTGTGTGTTTTGCTGAGAAATCTCTTTTAAATGGTAATAAATAGAAATCAAACACTTAAAAAGTAAATCCACTTTCGTTCAGAATAAAAAAAACAATCCCTTCTGGGTAATCTGTGTAAATTGCAAGGATTAAAAAAAACTTAGTTGCAGAGTCCTACCTGTTTTTGCTCTAAAGAAATAGCTGTTTATTTGTGTAGAGTAAATCTGAATGGGTGTGATTTTTTTTTTCCTTATTGATCTGCTGATCTTTCAGCATTCTAACAAAGAAAGTTGCAGTGTCTGCATCGCTTTAGATGTAAAAATTCATTTGTAAGTATCTCACCAAAAACGACAATTTTTTGTTGCAGAGGATACCTAAAATCTGACATATATTTTGGGAAAATCAGAGAGCCAATGACACAAGGGGCAAATTACATTTCTGGGGAAGTTCTGCACAACATCTGTGTCCAGAACGCCTCCAGATTAGCATATTGCATGGAGTTTTACTGAAAATGACAGAGCTGCAGTCTGAAAAGGAAAGTTAATTTTTAATAACATTAAATTTACAATATGGTTTCTGTAGCAATTGTATATGGAAGAGTAGTATTTTTTTTATATATATATATATATATATATATATATATATATATATATTCTGTGAAAGTGGGGTTAATCTTTAAACAGAGGAAAGTAAAGAGAAAGAGTGGAAAAGCATGGGGGGAAAGGGAAGAGAGAAGGCAATTTCCAAAACAGGGCAGGGATACATAGCATCTGTGATACAACTAGGTAACAAAAGGATAAAAGTGGTTCGTTGCACAGAAAGATTAATAAATAATTATGAAATCCCTGACTGAAGTCATATTTGATCAGGGCTCCAAGATACAAAGAGATTTGCTCTGGTAGTTATTTGGAAGGGGAAGCAGGCAGCTTTTGCTCCAGTCAGCAAATAGCTGTCGGGATATTTTTTATAGAACTTCATATTCTTGTAATCTGTTCAATTATTAAAGATCTGGCAGTGTGTTAGGAAAGCAATTGTGTATGTACAGTAAAGCAGATGCAAGAATTTATTTTCAGCTTCAGCTGAACTTACCTAATTTAAACTCTCAAATACAATAGCAGAAAAACAAAATGAGTCTCATTAAAATAATGAGGAGCTTGGCTGTCTCTTGTAGACACTTGCAAGCAGTGACCTTCCATGCCAAGGGCCAAATCGGTATAAAAGGCAAAACTGTCTGTTCTAGAGTTGTTAAAAATATGGAAAATGTCCAAAAATATATGGCTGCAAGTATAGTTCTCTAGTAAATGAGTAACAATGGGAGCATTTTTTTCAGATTTGGCTAAAACATGTAACAAATAAAGAATTATTTTAGCCTTTTCAAAGATAATTACATCGGCTGTAATCATTTTTCTTCAGTTAAAAAATATTTTAAAACTATAAAAAAAAGTTAATTTGATTTTGACACTAATTTTTTAAGCTTTTTATTTAAATGATTGCAGCATGATAATTAGTAAATTACACTATGCACAGTCATTTAAACTTATTTTTGCTTTCTAAAATGTGTTATCACTGGCTTAAGTCAGTTATTAATTAAAGGCTGAGGTTAGTTGTAAACTGTAGTGAACATGTGCTCCTTTGAAAGCTTGTCTGAATGTTATTAATAATAGTCAATTGACTAATGTATTTCGGCAGTGATCATTAACTAGGAAACACTGTTAATTGTCTTCAGTCTCTTTACTTACAGTATTCCTTATGTTTCATTTAAGCATTTCTTTAGGCATTTTTTAAAGTTTTGGATAGAGTGTGGAAGAGAAAGAAACTTTGAAGATAAACTATTACTTCCACTCTCTGGAACAGGGAAAAGAAAAAAACATGACGGGTCCTAAACATTACCTACTCTATCCAAAAGTAAAAAATACAAGATTTGGCTACAGAAAAATAGTAAAATAGTCAGGATGAAAACAAGACACAAGCCCATCTTGTTCAACCAATAGAAAAAAAAAATGAAAACCTCCATATACACAATCCTATACCAACAATTGATGCAAGGGAAGGAAAAAAAAAGATACACTTTATTACAATTTTAATACTGCTAACCTTTTAGAACAATGTACAGCTGTACATAGGGGTCCCCGAGTTACGAACAAGGGTTTTTTGGTTTGTTCTTAAGTTGAATTTGTGTGTAAGTTGAAGCAGGTAAATGTTTTAAGTGTAGCTCCAGCCAAAAAAAATTATTTCTATGTTTTTGGGATAGCAAAGGGGAGGGTTAACACCCCAGTAATGTTGTCTGTGCCCCTGTTCATAAGATTTCACCTCACTTTCTGTCCCTGTGACAATTGGATTTTGAAAATTTTGGGTTGTTGTGGAAACAAGGATTGGTGATAAACCTTCAGTGGAGACCCTTTTTCGTTCGTAACTCAAATGTTTGTAACTCGGGGACTGCCTGTAGTGTATGTTACTTATATTTTATATAATAATATGTTAGAGTAAAGGCCTTTGTTGTTTCTTTCACAGGATGGGATCATTTTACGCTCCAGGACTGATTGGAATTAATGTCCTTAGGTTGCTCACTTCAATGTACTTTCAGTGTTGGGCTGTTATGAGCAGTAATGTTCCTCATGAGCGGGTCTTCAAAGCATCTAAATCAAATAATTTCTACATGGGACTTCTCCTCCTTATTCTTTTCTTGAGTCTTCTGCCTGTGGCTTATACAATTATGTCTCTTCCACCATCATTTGACTGTGGGCCATTTAGGTATGAATGAAGGAACCATATTCCATATATGTAATTGTAACCAGCTGCTGACAAGCTTAATTAAATGCCATTCAATATGGTACATTGTCTTGACTCTGCAAGCTGTCAATTACAGATTTTTTTTTGGTCTTGATACTATTAATGACTGGTGATTGCCTGTTTTCTTAACCCCCCTGGCGGTATTCCTGAGTGTAGCTCTGGGGGTAAAGTTTCAGAACCAAAAGCGGTAACCGCGAGCTACACTCGGGCTTACCATGTGGCGTTGCTCAGGGATTCCCTGCAGCTCTTACCTTGTCCTTCGCTCCCGCGATGCGTCCCCTGCAGCGTCCTTGGCCATCTCCTCCCGCCGATGCCAGCATCGGTTTACGTGTTCCGGTCCCTGCGAGCGTCGGGACATCGGGGGCCGGAAGCGGCGGCAAATGTAAAAATTCAAAAAAAATTTCATTTTCTAATAAACTAAAATAACATCGTAAAACATTACTGTTTCAAACCATTTCACATACATTTTGTCCCTAATGCTTTGTCCTGTGCCCTGCCTGCATTTTGACTATTCTTTCTGCCTGGAAACTTAGAAAAGTCCATGGCGTCCAAAAAGCGTCCCTTTAGGTCAAAATCGGTTTTAGACCAGCTAGAGAACAGCGATAATAAATCAGAACCACTTGCAGAATTGAGTGATATTGATTTGTGGGGAAATTCGTCATCACACTGAAAACGATTTTGTGACTTTGCTCAGTGATGTGAGAACTTGGTGCTATATTTCAAATTTCAGTATTTTTGGTTTGATTATATT